CCCCCCCCCCCCCCCCCTTTTTTTTTTTTTTTTTTTTTTTTTTGAGAGATGGAAATACAAACTGAAATTCCTTCTAAGATCATTCTTGGCTGCTGGACTGTTTCTTCGAATTGGGCACCTCGCTGAGACTGGACTTGCTGGGCGCCCAGTCGTAGTCAGGTTATCCTGCTCTTCGGGGACGCAGATGCTGTCAGTCCTCAAAGGGCTGGTGTGGGCCAGGACAGGGGAATGAGGGGATTCTCCAGCACAGGGGAACGTAGGAAAAATATGCACTGTGTTAACAAAGAAGCAAAGACTAACGGCAAAGAACAGTGCTTACTTTGTGGGAGTTGACTCCGCACCAGAAATATTGTGGACGCCCCAGTAACGAAGGAGAAGGTGGTCTAAGAGGGGTAATCAAGTTAACATTTATTGAGAGTCCGGCTACTGGCTGGTCAGTGTGTGTCACCTCCCGCACCTCCCAGATGAGACTCGGAGAGGGGCAGCGGTTCGCCCAAGGTCACACAGCCAGGCAGGGCGGAACTGGGTGCAAACGCCACCTGCCTGGCTCTGCCTCCATGCTCTTTTCTCCCACCCCCTGGGCACCTGCGGCTTTGGGGAATGGTGTCGGGGGGGGGGGAGTTGTCCCCCTAGAAGCCAGAAGCCCCTCCAAAGTCATGGCTCTGCACAGCTCCCCCAGCCAACCGGAGCCCAATGTGTAGAATTCATTTGTATATTAAGAGCCACCAGCGCAGAGGCAGGAGAAGAGAACAGGGGTGCAGGCTGAGGGGTGAAGGTCCAGCAGAGTCGGGTCCCTGAGAATCCCAGGAATGGAGCCACCCAAGGGCTGTGCAAAGCCGGGGCTGTTTCCCCCGGCTGGAAGCCCACGCCCCCCCCCCCCCCCCCCGACCCCTGACCGGCCACCGCCTCTGCCCCCCACCTCCCTACCACCCCAACCTTCATTCCAGAGCTTAACTCACCCTCCTGGATCCTCTCCACTCTTACTTCTGATTCTGCGCCCCTCCCCCCAATTCCGGAACCCCCTTACAAAGGTAAGATTCTCCTAGGAGGGCAAGAGAAGGGAAGAGGCAAAGTGGGCAGAGGGGACATTCATCCTGGGCATGGCTGTGGATACATGCACGGTCATGAGCCTGGCCCCGACACAGCAGGTAATCAGTCAATGCCAAGGTCAAGGATCAAGGAGGGCCAGCCCCAAGATGCTGTGATTCTGTGGATTTTGAAACGCAGAACTTGGTATTCCTCAAGAGGCCAGGGATGGGCCCCTGCCTTTCCCGAGAATGCCGTCAGTCCTGCGGAATTCCAGGCAGTTGGTCACCTAAGGACGGAGTTGGCCAGAAAATGGGTCTGTGTTTAGACAGATGGGAATTAGGAAGGAGCCTCCAGGACTGAGGTCTCCATCAGCCTCCCACTCGTGCAGGTGACAGGGTCCAGGTGGGAGTTTACCTGAGTACCTTCCAGGGTCCAGTCAGGGCTGACGGGCCCAGCGAAACCTGCACCTCTTCCTTGAGCGGAACAGCCAGAAGCAGGTGCACGTGGGCAGACCTACAATAAATTCAAAGCAAAATAATTCTGCCTGCTCTACAATGACCCCATGGTCGATGTCCTCGCTTATGCTGAAAATAAATACGCTTGACAGAGCCATAGCTTCTCAAGAGCTCGTGGCTTTTCTAGATTCAT